TGACATAGACACCAATTCTCTCTTCAATCTTAACCACTTGGACTTTGTGCTTAGTAAATTAAATATGTATCTAGAACATATTATTTTGTTCCTATCATGAGGGTTTTTTTTTTTAATTTCATCAGCTAAACTCATCATTTTCAATTTGTCTTTTTGATATTATATTAATTGAGTAGGGTCGGGTAAGTTGCATATGCGGGAATAATTGTCATCCCTAATTTATGTGTGAACAAGAGGAGGTTTGTTCTCATTCTTAGGAGAAAGATCAAAGTAATAACTTTCTTGGTTATATTAGGAGGCTTAGTTCTTCTAAAAGATTCCTTATTAAATGTATCTTATGATAATTAGTGGGGAATTTCATCGCAACAAAACGTGAAATAATTTGTTTTCCAAATGGGTTTGTACATATATTATATTATACACTAAACACTACTTTAGTCCTAATGGGAATAGAACTCATGCAAAACAAGAGGATATTCTTCTTCATGCTTGGGTTTTTTATTAGGGTCGCCTAGCTAGGGCTAAAAAACTTAATCCTAATGGGAATTTGCATATATAACTCCAAGGAATGTTTATAGGAACAATATGCTTGTTTTTTCTCCATAATGTCTTATTTTGTACACTTCCATCAAATAGATTAGAAATTTACTCAAGATCCTTCATATATTGTGGATAAAATAGTTAACAATTAGTATTGGGGTTGATAGGGTCCGTACATACGACATCTCAATCAAAGTCGCTAATAACATGTCAAGAACCCTTTGATTTTTGTAAAATATGTCAAAAACCAATTCATCATCCCAATAGTTTAAAATAATAAAGAGTTTCGATAATGAATCTTATGTTCTTCATTACAAATGCGCACAATATAAGTTAGGCGAGAGACTCAATAATTAAATCAACATTGGCACATAGAATCTGGCTTTCATTTATTTAGCTTGAAGGAGCCATTGGATTTCTCAGAAATATTCCTTCAAAAGGCTAAGCACAATTGATCAAAGACCCAATTCCTTTCCCCTTTACATGGCAAATCAAATGATGATGGTTGTGATCACTACCTTGCTTATTAATTGTTCTATTGATAATGGAGTATAATATCTCTTGTCATTAATTACATATACATAATGGCCCCCTATCTCCCATCCACTAAATACATGAACTTATTCTCCACAATACACAAAATATTAGTAATCTTATGTAGAGAAATATGACAAAACTTGCCATTTAATTGGGTAATGTTGGAGAGGTGAATTGGTGGACATTCATATATATATTTATAGCCAAACAAAAATAGACTTATGAAAAAAGAAGATGGAGAGAGAATAGATTGGGGAGTAAAAAGAACAAAGGAATAAAATTAAAAGGTAATTTAAGAAAGGGAATGTCTTTCAAAAAAATTTAGTTATCAAATTGATGATGAGGTTTATATACCTAACTTTTCTTCAACGTATCTATCATTTCTTGATAATAATTAATATTCAAACAACAACGAATGATAATCCAAACAACAGAGAATAAGAACACACAATGAAATCTATTGGAAAGCAAATACTCATCAATCAGTTCAATAAAGCTATGCACGTGTTACCTTCCTATATAATTGTGAGAAAAAAAGAGATTTACATATAATTTTTTCGTACTCTCTAATTTATGCGTCTAATTTTGAATTTGAAAAAAAAAAGAAAAGGATATCGAATGAAGGGGTCTCTTTTCAATTAAGCAGGCAAGATTGATGCATGTAGAATAAAGCAATGTAAAGTTTGTTTCTTATAATTTTGAGGATCTATTCCCTATCTCACTCAAGGAAATCAAAAAAATTAGGGGAGGTGCTCCCACATTAGGAATACGGCATTCCATTCCATGATAATGACACCCTCAAAATTGTATTTATAATGAGACCAATCCAAAGCTTACAACGTACAACAAGATCTCCGACTTGAGAGGTTAGTCGTAAAAAAAAAAGGGTTCAAAATTGATGTGCTAAAATTCGAATTTATTCTTATTTTGTAATGTATTTGTTTGAACGTTGATTGGCTTTTGCCTTTGGCTATGGCCTATGAGAAAGAATCGAGGAAAGGTCTCCATTATCGATTCTCAAGCCCAATTCATCGTATTTTTTTTCCGGTCCAAAGTGGGTCTGGGTCAGATAGGACAAAAAGATTGGGTACCTGAGTTGGGCTAAAGCCCAGCCCATACATTTCAATTCTCATGATGCCCCAGTTACTAATTTCTAAACAAAACTTGATAAATTGAATAAACAAAAGCGCATCTAGTGTAGTGGTATCATAGTACCCTCCCACGGTACTGACCGGGGTTCGATTCCCCGGATGCGCAATTTAGATTTTTCCCCAAGATCCATCCAATAGCTCGTTGAAGCACTTTTGGTCCTTGAACAAGACTCTTTTTGGATTGTTGGAAGTTGGAGTAATTGGTAGATTTTTCCCCAAGATCCATCCAATAGCTCGTTGAAGCACTTTTGGTCCTTGATCAAGACTCTTTTTGGATTGTTGGAAGTTGGAGTAATTGGTCAAACACAAATCGATCCATCCAATAGCTCGTTGAAGCACTTTTGGTCCTTGATCAAGACTCTTTTTGGATTGTTGGAAGTTGGAGTAATTGGTCAAACACAAATCATACACATGTCCATCAACATTACAAGACATTTGGAGTGCAAATCCACCTTATTGTACAATTTGAACTCGGTACTAAGAGTTCGTACTCGTGCACTTCTTGTCATTATGACAAAATTAAGCAGTTATGTTTTCATATGACCAAACCAATCATTGAATCACATGTCCATCAACATTACAAGACATTTGGAGTGCAAATGTACCTAATTGGAGTAATTGGTAAATTTTTCCCCAAGATCCATCCAATAGCTCGTTGAAGCACTTTTGGTCCTTGATCAAGACTCTTTTTGGATTGTTGGAAGTTGGAGTAATTGGTCAAACACAAATCGATCCATCCAATAGCTCGTTGAAGCACTTTTGGTCCTTGATCAAGACTCTTTTTGGATTGTTGGAAGTTGGAGTAATTGGTCAAACACAAATCATACACATGTCCATCAACATTACAAAACATTTGGAGTGCAAATCCACCTTATTGTACAATTTGAACTCGGTACTAAGAGTTCGTACTCGTGCACTTCTTGTCATTATGACAAAATTAAGCAGTTATGTTTTCATATGACCAAACCAATCATTGAATCACATGTCCATCAACATTACAAGACATTTGGAGTGCAAATGTACCTAATTGGAGTAATTGGTAAATTTTTCCCCAAGATCCATCCAATAGCTCGTTGAAGCACTTTTGGTCCTTGATCAAGACTCTTTTTGGATTGTTGGAAGTTGGAGTAATTGGTCAAACACAAATCGATCCATCCAATAGCTCGTTGAAGCACTTTTGGTCCTTGATCAAGACTCTTTTTGGATTGTTGGAAGTTGGAGTAATTGGTCAAACACAAATCATACACATCCTGGATAACATTTTGATGCTGTGGATGCATGCAGCTTGGGATTGTCTCAACCTGCAGACCTGCTCATCGATTTCCCAAACTAGAGGGTGTGATCTAGCAGGCAAGCTGTTGGAGCAAGCATGGAAAGAAGCAGCTGCCATGATTCTGGTTTTCTTGATGTGGGGAAGTTGTATGAAGTTTGGAAGAGATTATTTGTACAGAGATTTCTGACATGGTTGTTTAGATCCAAATCATTCACATTTTCTCATCTCATCTCATTCATCCATTCATTGTTTTATAAATGCAAGAGAATAAGATTCCTCATGTGTTTCCTTTGCCATCTGCCATATATAATGAATCAGATGCAAAAGCAAACACAACAAAGAAAATGTTATTTTCAGAAGGCAATGCTGAAACCAGAACCACCATTTCCAGGATGCTACAGGACACTCAGGAAGTCGGTCCCAGCGTGTTCGAATCGTGATCGGTAGGGGTGTTCAAATGGTTACCATGGTTATTACCAAACCAAATAAGGCAAAATTTCATTAACCATGGAATACAATATCATAACCAAACCGTCCAAACTAATACAACAACCAAATTAACCAAACTAAAGTTTAATCGGTTTGGTTAATTGGTTAACCAGATTAACCAATATAAAATCATATTATCATTAAGTGAGAAATATTTCGATTAATTTATCAATTCACAATTTATATAATGAATAAAACATAACAATCAACACATAGTTATAGTTGACCCTTAACATAAATACATGCAACTAAGACAATTATCTTACGGTTAGTATAGAAGTATTCACCTAACAAAAATTTATCACAATGGTATGGGTTAATGAATTGTTGTGCTTGTTTAAATTGACTTAGTCTTTTAGCAATTTTCATAGGCTGAAAAGGACATTGCTTTTAAGTTTTCATCCAACATAATATATGAGATTTATCTAAATTAGGCGTTCATATGTTGTGGTCTACACTCTACATATACAAATATACATTATAGGAACAATATCAAGCTTTATATTTTATGAGTCTAAAAGAATGAATGTTTAACACTTGAGTGGTTATTCAAAGTATTAAGTATGTGTATATATTAGATATACGACTAATTATTTATCTAGTTAATTTGGTTTGGCTAGTTAAGAGTGTCTGAAACCAAACCAAACCACCTAAACCAAACAAGATAAAAACTTTAACCAAACCAAACCAATTATCCAAATTAACCAAACCAAATTATCCAAATAATACTGGTTAAAACGGTTATCATGGTAACCACACCGTTTGAACACCCCTAGTGATCGGCCTAGTTTGATCTACAGACATAAACAAAAACCAGTTGCTGTTAAAGTTTGTAGCTGGTTTCTAAGCTGGGAAAAACCATAACCAAGTGGCAAGCAGAGATGAACTAGCAGACCAGATACTCAGCATTGTTGACTTAGTTTGGCAACTAGTGACCAGTTACTTGGCTTGGAGCCTGATTGAGAGAAATGAATGACAACAAGCACTCCAACACCTCAAAAGCAGTAGATTCAGCTTTCCTTCAAAATGGCAATCGTCCCAATTGCTTTGATCACAAGGATTGGACTCGCATTGGTGGGGTGCGCCAGGCCCGTGCAATAGTGCAACGCATGAGCGACACGCAAGAAAGCTCCTGAAGCAAGCTCCAGTAGTGGGCCTTCTCCCCCTATAAAAATTAATTTAATATCGTGTGGGCCATTGGCCCACGTATCAGATATTAAACTGATAAGAACAGATACTACACTTGATCTTAGCCAAAAGGCCGAGAAAGGTATGATTTGCAAATTGAACAGAGCTTCCTTCTTATTCCAAGCCATGTGCTCTACACAAGCTGGTTAAAACAATGTGGTACAATTGACTCCACTCCACAACATCCAACGTGAAGAAGAAGAAAAAAAGCGGCAAAGTATAGTCAGAATAGCATCTCAGTAGCTCATCAGCTGGGGAATTGGTGGGTTGATGCTGACGACGAAGACGATTACTAGCCTTCTCGAGTGGACATTCCTTTGAACCGAGTTGCCTGTCGATGTGCTGGTTCCAATTCGACAGCAGTCGATTTTGGGACTGAAGATACATTCCTAAGGCCTGATTGGTCTTCTTGTTACATCACAGGACAGGAGTAGTGTTGTTTTCTCGTGGTGTATGTGCAGAAGAAAGTAGTGTTTTTCTGGTGGCCTCTGAATGTTCATAAAATTATAGTCGGTTTGTTTTAGTAACGATAATCGACTGATGAAAAAGTAATGATAACCCAAAAAATAGCATTTCATTCATCTTTTTAAAGTTGCCTTTTTTGTTTGGTCAAAAGCTCACTCAGTCACTTGTATTACCAAGAACCCATAGATCACAGAGTTTACAACTCAAACCATTAATAACCATTGTCTAAAATCAAAACTAGTAACACTCAAGGCAACAACAAAAGGGTCTTTCTAGCCACTACATGAATCACCCGGTTGTTATTCCTACTCGCAAAATGAATTTGGAAGGCTTGGTGGATGTCGTGAGTGTCGATGAGAAGGTATTTGAGGAATCGAGCTAAGTTGAACGCCACCACTCTGTTCCAGTCTTGTGAGATGCATTCCATGGCCATGATCGTTAGCCCGTCATCTTTGTCTGAAATAACGATTGATTGGTTGATTGGGTGCCGCCCGTGTGTTTGTGTGTATATATATTGTTAGCAAACGACGGTTGATTAAGCACGTACATTTGATTCTGTTATAATTTCTTGGAGGAGGAGCAATGAATATGTTACTTACTTGTGATTAGAGGAGACCCCACAGGCAAGCAAGCATATATAACTAACTTAAATCCTCGCGAAGAACATAATATGGACAAAAAAGAGAACGACTATATGTGCATATGACCCACACAACTTCTCCTCCTATGAAACGTATATAACTAACATATAAGAAGAATACTGAATTTTGAAACACGTAAAGTCATTCAAAACCGACCGAATATAACAACGACGATTGATTACTTTGCTTGGCTCTTCCAACATATATACACGAGGAGTTGGCTATAGCTAGATTCTCCTTACAACTTCCACCTTAAATACCAAACCCTTTTACTCGAAATAGTTCAACAGGCAAATGAAAATGGAACATCCCACCTGAAGAAGAAAAGAATTGTGCCACTAATACTTGGAAATGATGCTCCAAACAGGTATGAATCGGTCCTCTCCTTCTCCCCTTAACATACGTTTTCCACACAATCCTACTAATTGCTAACATAATTTTTTTCACATCCCAAGTCTCCACGCCTGCTATATATATCGTGCATTGAAGTTCAGCAACAGATTTCTTCACCTGCGAGTCTGTAATAATCTTCAACAGCAGATATCGAGGGATGGGATTAGGTGCTAACCTTTATAGGGGTTAGCACCGTGATAACTAGCAAAAAACGCTACTAAAAACAACGAAATCACTACGGATTATTATAAAATCAATACAAGTATACAACATCTAAGCTAAATCACACTACTAACCTTGGTTAGGACAGTGCTAACTCTTGTACAATTAGCACCGTAACCAGTCCCCAGATATCGACCAAGTCGAACAAATTCAACTAGGCCAAATGGGCTCAAAACGAGGAATAAAAGGATTACCATTCAGCTAAGGCCCAATGGGCCCTAAACAAAGAAATCCCCAGATATCGACCAAGTCGAACAAATTCAACTAGGCCAAATGGGCTCAAAACGAGGAATAAAAGGATTACCATTCAGCTAAGGCCCAATGGGCCCTAAACAAAGAAAAAAAAAGATTGAACTAGGATTGGTGGGGTGCGCCAGGCCCGTGCAATAGTGCAACGCATGGGCAACACGCGAGAAGGCTCCTGAAGCAAGCTTCAGTAGTGGGCTTTCTCCCCCTATAAAAATAAATTTAATATCGTGTGAGCCATTGGCCCACGTATCAGATATTAAACTGATAAGAACAGATACTACACTTGATCTTAGCCAAAAGGCCGAGAAAGGTATGCTTTGAACAGTAACTAGAGCTTGCATCTTATCCCAAGCTCTCTGCTCTTCACAAGCTCGTTTAAACGATGTGGTACAAATTGGCTCCACTTCACAATAGTCAAATAAGTGGGAGAGAAAGAAGTAATGTAGTCAGAAAAAGAGCATGGTCTCAATCCTTTGATGACGACGACGACGACGACGATTAGCCTTCTCTCTCCAGCGGCAATCCTTTGAACCGAGCTGCCTGTTGATATTAATCTGCTGGTTTTAATTCAACAGCAGTTGCAAGTCGATTTGGGACTGTAAGAATGGTGTGGTACATACATACAAAGGCCTGATTAATCTTCTTGTTACATAAGAGTCTTGTTTCTCGTGGTGTATGTGCAGAAGAAAGCAATTTTATGTAACTTTGGTAGAATATTCTTTTTAAGTTTTGCCTTCAATCTCGGTTAAAATTAAAAAAAAAATTATAGATGTATTGAAAAATCGTACCGGAGGTCATATCGGTAGTATATGGTAGAATATTTTTGGGGTACGATCGTAGTTAAATTTTGGGGTGTGCACGTGGGTGGTTAATCCGCGGATTGATATCGATCCACCCGCAAATAATTCGACCCGCACGCAGTGGGTGATTGATGTGGGTGGATTGCAGATTGGTAAATCTCCCATCCGCACTGATGTGGGTGGGTGGTGGGTGGATTGCGGGTCACCCATATGACCTGCATCCTATTTTTACATGAAAAAATGTTGTTTCTTATAGTATCGAATATTCATCGTATTTTCGAACTGCACTACAATCTGACCATATACTTCAAAAGGTGGAGAATAAATAATAGTTTTGACTACTATTATTGGTTATTGTATTGTGCAATATCCATTAGATATTGGACATTGGTATGGAGATTATTGTTAATAACCATGAAATATTGTAGGCTGGGCAATGGGTCGGATACGGGGCGGGTACCCCATATCCATTGCCCGCTCTGTATGCCCGCGGGTAAAACCCGTACCCGCCCCATTAACCTTTATGGGCAAAAAACATGGACCAAGCCCAAGACCAAACGGGTATCGGTGAACCCGCGGGTTATTTGTTACCCGTGGCCTGTCTAGAAATAAAAAGCCAACCAAGTTCCTGAAAATCACTAAGCATTATTTGAATTACTGAAAACCAAGTTATTATAACATTCAACAAGAAACCATGAACTGCAAACCCATAAACCTGTCTCAAAATCAACAATCCGACCATAAATAAACCCAAAAATAAGAATCACTCAAGCCCAGAATTGAAACCCACAGAGTGTAAAAAAATCTCAGCTAACAAACTTCCGAAATAACACTGCGAGTCTGAAAGATTGAAACAAAAAAAAAACTATAACAGAAGCCATTCTGAAGAGCAACAATCAGTCTTGATCTTCACCCCTAAGTCGCCCTTTCCCGTCATTACATCTTCTTTCAATGAGAATAAAGTTCCTGAAATCCAACAACATTCACAACTTGCAAATTACTATCGAACAACTTTTATCATAAGCAAGGCTGCAGCAGTAAAAAATGTAACAGAGCACACACCCACAGCTAGTCCAGCAGATTGACGACTGCAGCTACGTCGTCTTCATCTCCTTCCGGCTCCTTTTGCGTTCCAGCTTCATCTGATTCATCACAGTCTGAGACGTGAGAATTCAATTCGAAGAACAGATAAACAAGTTACAGAAGTGCAACTACAACTAAATCAGTTACATGTGCTCTCTTCCACCGTGGTATCATTCATTGCCATAGCTGGAAAAACTCCCTCTAGTGCTTTCATTTGAGAGGCAGACACTATGATAAACAGCAAGACTTAAGTAATCAGTTTGAAACAATAGCAAAGTAATCAGAATTCACTCAATTCAGACTTAAAATAAAAAAAAAAGAATCACCTTTGCTATCATCCTGAATCCAGGTCCTTAATATCATCATAGCTTCTATTGTTGAAGGATCAAGTCTGCTCCAATGGGGATCAAGAAGCCTCCCACTAGAACTAAAGGCAGATTCAGATGCAACACTTGTAACAGGCACAGCAAGTAAGTCCCTTGCAATTTCTTGCAAAATGGGATACTTGGCACCGTTGAACTTCCACCAACCCAACACATCAAAATCCGTTGTTATAGGAGGAACATCCTCAGCTAGATAGTGATCTAACTCGGTGGTTACTACCGATGTTCTGGTTTTCTTTCTTTGGCTAACATACATATCAAAATCCAGATCTGTAGCCGAAGAAGAAGGATGAACAGAAGACGACACATAAATGTTTTTGGTGGATTTTCTTTGATACTCAACAACCAAGTCAACAACAACTGTTCTGACCCTTTCACTCACTAGATCAGTATTAGTGATACCAAATTTTCCAACATAGTAATCAACCAGATCCAATTTATATCGAGGATCCAATACAACAGCAACAGCCAACAGTAAATGAATGTCATCCCAATACTTCACAAACTTTAGCCACATGTTCTCAGTCATAGAAACAATCATCGGATTAGGATCACCTAACCATTCCACCAACCGTAACCTCAAATCACAAACTTTAGCAACAAACTGATTCGCTGTTGGGTAGTTTGAACCAGAAAAAATCTAAAGTGATGTCCTTGAAAACATCAAGTTTGTCAACCAAAACAACAGCAAAATCCCACTGCTCGTTGGTAGGCAGAGAGTTGTATTGAGGCTCCCTCATTTTCAATATATAGAACACTTCCTTATACGGGATAGCACCAGAAAGCATTGTGTAGGTGGAATTCCAACGAGTGCGACAATCTAAGACCAACTTCTTAGAAACAGCCAATTTAAGTTGTTGGGCAGTTGCATGGAAAAACTCCACTCTCCTAG